GAGAGGATCAACAAGACCCTCATCTGTCCGAGCACCCTGAGAATTCTAATTTGTTGACTGTGCTGGGCATTCAATATCAGCCTGTTCAGGACACCTTTACGTATAGAGTCAAACTTGACCCACCGCCCAAAGCATGGACCAAACGCTTCGTGCTGTCCACCGTAGCCCGCACCTTCGACCCTAATGGGTGGATCATAACAAAGTTATGAAGGCATGCGACATAAGAGATTGCTCAACGAATACAGCTAGAAAGAAAATACGAAATTGGTTATTTACGCTTAATTATGAACAAACAGAGAAGCTGCTCCAAACATTGTCATAGTAGTTATGTGCCCAATATTGATATTTGATTGATATTGTTATTGTTATTAAAGTAGTAATTCAAAATACTGTAATATTAACAAACTATATTATGTGTATGTATGTATGTGTGTATATGTATATATATATATGTATATATATGTATGTGTGTATGTATGTATGTATGTTTGTGTATATATGTTTATATGGATGGCTATACAGGGTATTTTTGGAACGCTCCCGAAAACTAAGACAGGCGACAGCACCAAGTATACTTTTGATCATGGGTCATAAATAAATTTGATCCTGATGAAAAAAAAACATATTTTTACAACGTTTTATTAGCTTTATTCACGCGTCATCATGTTAGTACAGCTAAATGAAACGATAATTTCATTAAAAAAAATCATGAAAAGACTGAAACATAAAACCAGCAGTGGAAACTGAATTGATATCACCTGACTAATGGAGGTTAATGTACGCGCGAACGGTGAGAAAAGAACGCTGGCCTTGAACTTGGGCACTGAGCGAATTATCACATATTGGCCAGTATTACTGTGCCTGCATGCTATTGGTTCCCGCGCTTTGTTCGCTCCAAAAATACAGTCGCATACACAGCTTACTTTGCGACTCGCGACGATGTTTTAAAAAGGAAGGAAAAAAAATTATTTATATCTATTGTTTTATGACTAAACTAGTGAACGAAAAAGTGAATGGGGAAAATTGTGCAGTAAAGTTAAAATTGTTGAGGAAGAATACCGAAAAAATTACCATGTGATCGACCTGATGACGGAAGCTCAAGCGAAGATGAAAGTGATGATGAAGTAGCATCCAGTAACACCAACACACCATCAACATCTGGCTTCCATGTGACCCAAGACGTCATAATGGACGGCGTGTCACCCTTAGCTTAAGTTTTTTTGTTACAAACTACTTTATATTTTACGATAGAAATAACAAACAATGCTCAAGTAAACATTATCTATTTTTAATTCCCACCTCTTCCAAAGTTCTAAGTAGCTAGTAAAACACCTATTATGATTCTACAATAAAACAATTAATTACTATAATATTATAAAACAATAGCCCAATACCATGTAGTACTTTAGAACGCGACTGTACCCACACTCACTCCGCTGTCGACCTGTATCTAGCTCGGTATGAAACAATGCTACGGTCATAAGAAAAAAGGGCGCATCTAACAATTTTCGAATAAATGAGTTAAATATACCATTCGACTCATGATAAGAAGACGCATCTACTAAATTTTTTTAATATTTACATACAAATGTTTTAATTTTTAATTATTATCGTAGTAAGTCTTGTATGATATCCCCTTTAAAATCATTACTCAAGAGTTGCGGGTTGTTATTTTTTGTGTCTCACTACCAATGCTTTTCTAATATTTACTAAGAAAAAAGTAGTAAATTACTATTAGCGTCCTCTCAACTTCAAATGACCTTTCCAAAATATGTAAAAATGTTAAATGAATGGTAGTTTTGTTTTATTTATTAGGTTGGGAAGACCCAAATAGTTATATGCGTCTTTCCTTCGATGTTTTTGTGTTGCCAGGTGTATTTTTTAATCTAAGATGAAAAGGAAAATTCGTTTTATTTAAATAAATAAACAAATTAAAAAAAAATAAGTTCGTCCTTAAAATCTTCATGTCTCTACGTATATATTTCAATATAGATACCTTTTAATATACTTTAGACACGGGGTCTGAAAGAAAAATTCATCAATTTATTTTTTATTTCCATTTTACGTTTTTGTTAGTTACTTCCTTTTTTATTATGACGGCAGAATGCCTAACCCTGTCGCCTCACGCTTGTGACGCAGTAGGTTTCAGCCTTGACTGGGTTCGTTCGTTTTAGTTTTTGAGACAGTTCCGTGTTGATTTTGTACACGCGTGCGCGAGCGACAGTTCAATCGTTTTGTTTAATAAAATTACTTGTGATTACGTGTTGATATTAAAGTTTTTGTTACGTTTTTGGATTCTTTTTTGTTTTAATAATGCCTAACGTGTACGTTTATAGTGGTTATTATACTGCCGTTGGTTATTATATCAGTAACAACGTGTGCCTGGTTCCATTGAGCACATTATCTGGACGGATGAGTCGACATTTACCAGAAACGGCCTGTGGAACCGAAGAAATACACACGTGTATTCAGAGGTTAACCCGCACGCTGTTCGACAAACCGGGCACCAAACCCGATGGTCGGTTAACGTATGGACAGGTTTATTTAAGGATCGCATACTGGGACCAGTGTTTCTGCCAGAGCGACTGAACGGACAGCGATACCTAAACTTTATAAATGAACAGTTGGTTGACATTTTAAACGACCTATCGTTGGCTGAATATCGCCGCACATAGTTCCAACATGATGGTGCCCCTCCACATTTCGTGAGGTTCGTCCGTAAGCGCCTCAATGAGCTATTTGATGATCGCTGGATCGGCAGACTAGGACCACACGCTTGCCCACCTCGCTCACCAGATCTGACTCCGTTAGACTTCTTTTTGTGGGGTATGTGAAAGAAAGGGTTTTTAATCGTGAATGTGATAGTGCTGAAGAAATGCGCCAAAGGATCGTGGATGCTTTCGAGAAACTACGTACGGACTGTGTCGAAGACCACATGATGATGCCCCGCCTGCACCCAAGTCTGCCTTGAAATGAATGGATCACAATTTGAGCCGCATCTCATAAGACCACGGAGGATTTAGAGCAGTAAGCTGTTTCATAACTATTTTTTTTTAAATAACTTAGTACTAGACTAATCTGAATAGGTACATAACTGAATACACGAGAATAATAAACATACCTACACGATGAATAAAAACGCATGACTCCAACCTTGGTTACATTTCATTTAAGTATTTCTTCATTAGCGGGGAATCGAACCAGTTATTTGGGTTATTTAACCTGTAAATTCGGATTAAAGTGGCTACGTGGAGATAAGCACAGTGGCAAAATAGTAGGTTAAGTAGATAAGTTAGGTATTTAGACACGTGTTGTAAATTATTAGGTATTGTGGGAAGGCCTGCTAGTTGCGGGCAGCGCGAATTTGTGTTCGCGCGTACATTGACCTTTATCTAGCTCAGGTCAGGTGATATCAATTCAGTCATTCCACTGCTGGTTTTATGTTTCAGTATTTTCATGATATTTTTTATGAAATTATCGTTTCATTTAGCTGTACTAACATGATGGCGCGTGAATAAAGCTAATAAAACCTTGTAAAAAGATGATTTTTTTTTCATCAGGATCGAATTTATTTGTGACCCATGATCAAAGGTATACTTGGTGTTGTCGCCTGTCTTAGTTTTCGGGAGCGTTCCAAAAACACCCTGTATGTATATGTGTGTGTATATGTGTTTAAGTATATATTTATGTTTACAGACTATAAATAAAATGAGGAAGACATTTAAAGTAAAGAAAGCTTTGTAAAGTCAGCCGTGCACTAATTCTGTTTTTGTTAATATGTGTATATGGCTCTCACGATACAGGTCTGCGAGCCTAGTGTGAGAACCACTGTTAAATTATTTGTAAAGGTGCTAACTAACTGTCAAATAAAGTATTTTTCATTTTTTTTCATTTTTCATCACCCCGGTCATCTTTTTAGCTAAGTGCTTTCTTCAAAAGCTCTGGATGTCCGGGTTGGGTTGGGACGAGCCGATTAGCGGAGCCCTCTTGCGAGAGTGGCTCTCCATGCTCTCCTCCCTTCCGGATATCAACCGGGTTTCCATGCCAAGGTGCTTCCTTCCCCCCGGGAAATGTCGGGCTACCCTACATGGGTTTTGCGACGCCTCTGAGAAGGGCTATGCTGCTGTCGTATATTTGCGGACGGTGAGTTCCTCTGGTCATACTGTCGTCCATCTCGTACTCGCTAAAAGCAAGGTTGCTCCCATTAGGTCCCGCTTAACTATCCCTAAATTGGAATTGTCCGGTGCCGCTCTCCTCACGCGACTCCTCAACCACGTTCACTCTTCCTTGAAGCCTGTGATCGACATTACGGGCGTCTACGCATGGTCGGACAGTGAGATAGTACTTTGTTGGCTCCGAGCTGCACCTCACAATCTTGATGTCTTTGTGGCGAACCGCGTGTCTCAAATCCAGATTTCTGAGACTTCTCTCAACTGGTGACATGTCCCAGGGGAGTTGAATCCCGCGGACTGCGCTTCTCGCGGCTGTGAGGCCTCATCGCTGGTTGACCACCCACTGTGGTGGGGTCCCGGTTGGTTATCTGGGTCTCAGTCATTCTGGCCCCCGGGTAATTACTCCGAACCTACCGAATTGCCGGGCCTGCGAGCCCGAGTAGGAGTGGGCAAGGATAAGCCCACTCGGGATATCTCTCTTCTGGAACGGTACAGCTCCCTCGATAAGCTCTTGGGAGTTACTGCTTGGTTGCGCCGCTTTGTCCGCAATTCGAGATACCCATCCCACCGACTCTCTGATAGCGTTTTGTCCCCTAGCGAGCGTCGTGAAGCTTTGATGCACTGGACCCGTATGGTCCAAACAGAGCAATTTGAGCCCGTCAATGAAAACTTGAAGCGTGGCTCCGTTATCAAGGGCGCCCTGGCCCGCCTGAACCTCTTTCTGGATAACGCTGGGATGCTGCGCGTTGGCGGACGTTTAAAAAATTCTCAACTGCCGTACGGGGCTCGACACCCGTTGCTGCTCCCTAAGGACGGCCCCTGGTCCGGTTGCCGGTAGCCCACCACCATGTTAAGAATGCCCACGCTGGGTGCAACGCTCTTTCGGCTATTTTACAGCGGGAGTTTTGGATTTTGGCTGGCCGACGTATCATCCGGAGCGTCATCTTTAAGTGCATATCCTGTTATAAACTGAAGGCCACCATATCGCAGCCCGTCATGGGTGACTTGCCGCCCGACCGCGTCAGGGCCATGCGACCATTTGCTGGAGTCGGAACCGACTTTGCTGGCCCCTTCCTCGTCAAGTCCTCTAACCTTCGTAACGCTCGTTCGCATAAGGCATATCTTTGCGTCTTCGTGTGCCTCTCCACTAAAGCCGTTCACTTGGAACTTGTAAGCGCCCTCAGCACGGAAGCCTTCTTGGCCACGCTTGGCCGTTTCGTATCGCGGCGCGGGTTGCCGGACTTGATCCGGTCGGATTGCGGAACGAATTATAAGGGCACGAATAGGTATCTAAAGGAGGTCGTCGAGTTTCTGTCTAGCCACCGGACTTATTTAGGCAATGCTATGTCAAAAAGGGGCATCCAGTGGAAATTCAACCCTCCGGCGTGTCCCCACTGGGGCGGTATTTTCGAGGCGGTGGTTAAAGTGGCAAAAACGCATCTCCGTCGCGTTATTGGTGAAGCTATTTTGACATTTGAGGAGCTCGCCACTGTATTCTGTAAAATTGAGGCGGTACTCAACTCTCGGCCCCTCTGTCCCCTCTCCTCCGACCCGAATGATTTGGAAGTTCTAACCCCGGGACACTTCCTGATTGGCCAGCCTCTTAACGCTCTGCCCGAGTACCCCTTCAGGGAAACGAGCGCTTCACGGCTTAGCAGGTTTGCCCTGCTGCAACAGATGACTCAAAGCTTTTGGCACCGATGGTCTCTGGAGTACCTACATCTTTTGCAGCAGTGCGTTAAGTGGTCTGACAAGACGGAGCCTCCTCGGGTGGGAGACCTCGTGTTGGTTAAGGAACCAAACGCTCTACCTTTGTATTGGTGCCGTGGGCGCATTGTTAAGTTGTCGTATGGAGCGGATGGGGTACCTAGAGTGGCCGAGGTTTTGGTCGGAGATTCGGTCTTGCAACGTGCCGTCGCGACCTTGTCCCGTTTGCCAATCTACTCGCGGACATAATGCTTTATGTCCGGGGCGGGGCTTTGTTTAGGCAATAATATTATACCTTAGAAACGTATTCTTTAACGTGCGCGCTTAGCCTCGATATCGAGGTCACCTTCCCCCCCCCCCCGGCCACACTACGCAGCGGGATCGGACGGACTTCTCGAGAGTCATTGTAAAATTCTTTGCGATCTAGACTGACGTCTATTTTCCGCGCCTAACTTGTTACGAAAGTATCAACCCGCGTAAATCGTTGTGAGAACCCGTATCGTTCATTAGGACTTACTAACTCTGTTAAATTAATTGTGCAACTATAATAGTGATTTACCTCTGAAGTTCTACGTGTAGCTGTCCCATTGCGTGACAAACCAGGAAGAGTGCCTCCAGAGGGGGAAAGTTCCGAGGATACCAGCGCATACCTTCTCCCGGACGGCATTGCGTCAAACAGACCAGGCCACGTCAACACACACGTACATACAATCACATATACACTCACGACACTATCATCAGCCGGGCCGGTCTTGGTGAACCGTCTCCGCTCCGCTGGAGCAGGTGAGTGCCTTTATCATAGTGATCTTTCCCCTCGTTTATTTCAATTAGAAATTTCCACTTTGGCCAAAAGCCCGACCTGTATCTGCCTGTAGGGTCTTCCTACTATGGGCCTAGGTGGACACTACCATTAGCTAGGCTGCTGCAGGCCGTAACAGTTCCCATATTACAAATTTTGTTACTTAGTAAAATTTTCTCCTTTTCTACATTAATGGCAATAAGTCACTATTTATGGAAGACACATTTATGGATTATACCACTATAAAATTTACACAAAACTGACATTATTGTAAAATTATTGATCACCCATACATTCATACATTTTTTTCATACCCAAGAGGTTTGAACTTCGCTTAAATAATATTTTTTGCATGTTTTTCAAAAATAAATTCATTTGCGAATTTTTAAAAAAAAAACTGCAAAAGCTATTTCATACTATTTACGTTTTTATCTATCAGCACAGTTAGTGTATAATAATAAAACAACAAAAAAACCAATAGAAATCATTCGTTTTTGGTCATAGTGTTCAAGGCAATAAAAAATATATCAAAGGTACTACTTGTGATATATTATGTTTCGTATTTTTTTCAGAACGGCCATAAGTTGTACTATAAGACATTTCAAGGTTATCCATTCATAACCGGACAACCTGTATATAGGTCAGTAGAATTTGGCATTCTTATTAATTGTCGTTTAATTACGGTTTAATCGTTTCTACTAAAATAGGGATGTCGAGGTTAAAAGCCACATCGTCTACTAAAATTAAAGATAATATAAAACAATCTGGAAACAAGACTCTCATATAGTCCATACAACTTTACCGCGTAGGAATAGATTATCTGCTTAGAGATTTGATCAAAGGATAGGGATATGTCAGTCCCATCTTACCCTTATCAAGACTCACATAAGATTTATTAAATAAAAATTAGTTTCATTGAAAAGTAATCATTATATCAATTTTTAATAATAATAACAATTTCACAACAAGTTGCAATGATGCCTGAAGATAGTCGAATGGAAAAAATGTTTTTTCAATAATTAGTAAGTTTTAGGCGAAACCATTTTATCTAATTTTTTTTTTGCTTCGTAATCTAAATTAACATTTTTCTTTTAGTGATGTTCTTACGTTCTATTTCTCTAATAAACGTAAAGCTGTAATATTTCGCCCTAATATTGAAGTTATTTACGACTAAATTATAAACGTTAAAGGAATAACAAGACTTGGAACTCTTTCTATTAAAACTTTTTAATTGTAGAAGTTTTATGTCTACTCGTACCTGTTAAAAGCAAAATAATGTTTTCCATTTTGATTTATTATATTTCCTTTTAAAATTTTTGTGATAAGTACAGAGTTATTCTTTGAAATATGCCTTTGTAACCATGTTTGTAGATCAACAAGTGTACTCGCGAAACAAGAAGCCTGTTAGTCAATTTCGCAAATGGACAATTTGTTTACTCAAAGGGAAACAAAACCAACTCATCATAATGTAAAGAACTATCCGAATCTATTATAATTATATGCTTAGGGTTATTGGGAATATTTGCGCTAGTGTACACGCTAGAGAGGCGGGTTTTTTTTTTAATAATTTTGTAACTGATTATAACGCTACAAACTTTAGAGAAAAATTGTAGTCAACTTTTTTTAATAGAATAAGGATAACAAACAAGCACATAGTCCACCTGATGGTAGGCAGATGCTGTGGCCCATAGACATCTTACATCTATTCTCGATTAAGAATTAAAATACAGATACCTTGTCATCTCATACGTGGTAGAGCCATGCTGCAGCTATAGTGTTAGTATAGTTGTAGCACGAATGGGTCCGCTCGACCGGGTAAGAACCACACTCTCACAGAATACCAGCGTTAAATAGCAGCTTAACACTGCTTTGTATCGTATGGTGAGTGTAGAGAACCGGAAACCCTTTTTACTATAAAAGAGGCATTCCGTCTTAGTCCCTATATCTGTCTATCAGTCACAGCAACCACTTACCATCAGGTGGACTGTGTGCTCGTTTGTCAAGCTAAGCAAGTTGTGAGCAATCTAAGCGAGTTGTGAGCAAACATAATTACCGTTTATGATATATTCTAACGTAATCCTCAAAGATCACAACGCATCTGGGGCCTTCTTCGTTTGAAGATGACTGCAGTTGACAATAAAAAGGCGAACTATGCGCATTTTACAATGGAAAATTCAAATATCTTTTTAAATTGGCAAACGAGTATACAGTCCACCAGATCATCGGTTGCTGTGACCCATAGACATCCACATCTATCTTCGATTACGAAACAAAATGCAGATGCGTTGTGATCTATGAGGACTACGATGGAATGCCTCATTTCCAGTAAAAAGAGTCTCCCGTTCTCTACACTCACCATAAGAAACATAGCAGCATTAAGCTGATATTTTATGCTGACGGTCTATGAGAGCGTGATCCTTGCTGGTGGAGCCGACCCATTTGTGCTACAACCATTTATAACTTACAATACAGCTGCAGCATAGCTCTACCTCGTAAAATATGGGTCTACCACGTAATGCATGGTTCTATCACGTAAAACTGATGGATTTAACAATAATCAGAAGAGATAGTTGATTTGAAAACAACAGTATTTGTTGGGTGCACTAAGCTCGAAGTTGTTGACGTGTAAACATAACTGGGACAAATAGTCCGACTAGGTAAGTCCAACTTCGACCAAGAGTTCAATCGACTTATTCAACCTGTGCGTGTTGCCAGTGATGAATTTCGGATCTGAGATGTGGTTCTTCACTGTTGGCCGTATGAGTACGCTCATGGTCGCTCAGCAAGCTATGGAGAGGGCTATGCTCGGGTTTCTCTGCAGATAAACTTAGAAATGAGGATATCCGCAGTAGAACCAGAGTAATCAACATAGCTTAACGGATTAGTAAGCTGAAGTGGCAATGGGCCGGCCATATTACTCGAAGAACTGACAACCGATGAGTAAGAAAAGTTCTTGAATAACAGCCTCGTAGGTATGCGGTAGGTAAAGTGATCTCTTAGATTTCAAGTGATCTCTTAGATTGTTCGTATTTCCTAAATGCTTGTATTCCTGATTATAAGTTACACTTTATAACGGACAGTAATCTGTCCACTATCTAGAAATAACTCCACGTTAATGATTGATTTTTAGGATAAATTTTCGATTAATTATGAAGTCAAATACAAAACAAACCAGTAATCTATAAAACGCAAGATCAACCGCCCGTTCTGGCACTCACACAAACAGCGACAAGCTTACGACAGCGTCACCCACTAGATAGAGTGACAACCTAGTGAGACATCTAGGAAGTCCACAAATGGAGGAATGCCACCTGCATCCAGGTGGCTCAGGACCGTTCATTGTGGCATCCCTTGGAGGAGGCCTATTATGTTCAGCATTGGACTTGTGAACGGCTGTAGTTACGATGATGATGATGAGGTTGAAATAATCAGTACTGTGATAACATGTTTCTCGTACAATAATTACTGCTATTTCAAATATGGCCATTTAAATATTTAAGTTGACACAACCAAAAAACTTTATTAATATTACAGCCTACCACTGCTGAAAATAGGCCTGTCCACAGAATGTCCCATAAGGCGGATACTTGCCATTGCCATAGTTTTTTTTTTATATTTGTTTTTAGGAAGACACTGCTGCCTATCTCCTGGTGTTTACCCATGCACGTATGTGAGTGGTACTGTATATTTTTACACCGTAATTACACAGTTTACTAAAAAAAAAGAACACTTTTGCTATTATATAATAATTATTGGCGCGTAGTTTTTATAACTTACTAAGCCGTGACAAATAACATGGCCATATTCCTATAATTAAATCCTGACAGCTCTTTTAACCACTGTTTTTTTTTCGAAATAAGAAGGCATTCTCTGAACTGTTTTAAAATCATCGAACGGCCTGGGAAAATCTAAAAGTATAAACGAGTGTAGATACATACTCGTAGTATTCCGGAGTGCGATTCACGGTTGTCATCGCCGCAAACAAACGCACACGACTCCAAAACTTGATATTTTAACGAGCGGTCTACTTTAAATTTATAATGTTAACTTTTGTATTCAACACTCGGTGCTTACCAATTTTGCGGATGCTGCTGTATAAGTGAGTCGGTGTTGCCAGTAGTCCGTATGTAACATATTGTAATATCTAGCACCAGTAGGCGCGTTGTTTTCTTTTATCTTGTTGGCAACTCCTTATTTAGCTGTCGGTATATTTAAATTCCTATTTAAACGTCGGGTAAGAATAATGTTGCGTAAACTGCTATGCAAAAGTTGTTTCATGTATTAAATTTTAGTTTAATATCTAAAAGAAATACTTTCTGCTATAATATATTTAATTATTATATATTTTGATAAAAATATCTGCCAAGCTGAACGTGTAGTCACTGTGTAAGAAAATCCGCTACCTCATATCATCCTGTGGGTGTCGTAAAAGGCGACAGAGAGAAAGAAA